CGGTTGCCATCGAATCCCCCTTAGACTCATCAATTGACTTCCCATATTTACATTTATGTAAATTAAACTTAAGGTAGTTTTCGGGTTTGAGTAGAGTTTCGAGACTAGCAATAAATCAGTAGTATGAGATGTATTCACCCTATTTCGTTTAAGGTGATAAAGGTGTATAAAAAGTGACTAGGATTTCAGCCGGCCACACATTTTCTTGTTTAGCATATTTTTTGCGCTATTTCATAAAGTATGCATTATTGTTCTGATGTCATCTGCCACAGTAGAGATGCAAGCTTATTACAGGTCCATCGGAGTCGCAGCAGAGTGAGCCGAGGATTTATTCGCACAATCCAACAGTCTTCACTTCGTCGAAATCCTCTTTCAGCTTCCAGTGAGACAATTTCACGAATTTCCTACAATCAACCTCTAGTTCTTAAGATAACGTCATGTTATATTGTTTCAGTTTATTTCTGATCAAAAAGTTAGCCAAACTTTAAGGTAGTTAATAGTTCAGAATATGCAATTTCACATACTTTCGCGATGATGCTCATCACAGATGACTTGATCTAAATAGCCTCTACGTTATAAGTAAACATTATCAATTATTACTACAGCATATTTGTATTCAATATCTCCATGGTCTAGCTGCACTAAAGGCTATTTTTCTCATAAGGCATTATTTTTTTCCGTGATAGATGTCACATTAATCAGGCCTAGATCTCTCGTTGGCAACTCATCAAGATTCACGATGAAAATGTGCTTTTCGACAGTCAAGAGTTTATCACTCTACAAATCAGCAAATGAATAATAAGAGAAATTTCACCGTCGCCAACAGGTTGGCCTCTTGGCCTCCTCACATTTAGTTAAAATGGATAGTAACCTCAATCGCCGGTTAGACTAGAAAGCCTTTCGTATTAGCAAATCTATTGTGGAATGATGTACAAATTCACGCTATCCTCCCAGTATGTTGTTGGCAGACAGCACGACTCCGCATCGAATCACAGTCACTGACTTCTATAGTCATCATAAAATGCCCTACGTAATGGTTAGTTGAAGAGCGTTTTGCTCCTTCATGTACTGGCAATAAATTTGCCGCAAAGTTAAAGTAAATTTTATTGCTTACCAGCATACAGAAATTGCCATTGAAATAAGGCATACTAAAGCATAAAGTCATCATATTTTAAGTGGCATAATCCATCTAACTACGAAAGGAGATTTATAAAAATGTATCAACATGATGACCTTAATTATCTCTAAATGTTATCATCAGAATGAGTTAATTAAATCCACCTGGAGTTAACAAAATATGGGGGGTATTCCTGTACATTCTCAGCATTAATTCCTACATTATTTTTTTCTTTACTTTACTTTTTGGTCCGAACCAAGAGAAGAAACTGGCGTTTGATATTTGCACAGTTACATACTAAAATCTTGAGATGAAATTTCGATTTTAGCTTACTTAATGTTGTAGCCTTTAACCGCTTTTTATTTACGTACAAGTGATTTGAGACAGTGGGAAAAGAAGACAATTATTAAGAAAACTACCGATGAAATAAATGTGCCTTTCTACCACGCTTTAACGTACTGTTGTTCCATCGGCGCCTCTGATAATACCAGAACTCAGATCATGCTAATAAAATCAGGAAGTTCAAGTTAAGTATGTTAGCGAATCTCGTTTAAATGAAGATATAAACCATTTGTTGATGAGAAAAATATTTTCTCTACTCTCAATTACTTGAAAAGAATTCCTAGATTCGTCACTTTATTCTTCGGAAATGTGAATTATTCCCCTTGATACGTCTTCAATTTTATACTTTAACGTGAATTGTCTCAGATATTTAATTCGTTGAAACAAAGGTATTGCCCACTCGACTATAAACGAATAGGGTAAATGAGTTAGTGACTACTTATTTCCATTAGGAAATAAATCCTTACCGAGTTTACTTTAAAGAATATTGTTACTTGTTTATATATCAGTCTGGTTGGCAGATGTATGTAATTATTATAAATGCTAAATATTAAGAAAGTGTATTTTCACAATAACTTTCTGTTTTTCATGATATAAATTGGATTATGTGCAATACGAATTCTTTGCATCTTTATTTTCGCAGAACAGGCCTAGATGCTCAATTATACATCAATTAAATCTGGCATTAAATTTTGGTTCATTTGGATGTTTCTTTGTTTCAAAACAAATATCTGTGAATGCATTCAGTTCATAGTCTAATGCTGGAAATAATCAGGATTACTATGGGAGAGGATTCCGAATAAAGTTTGCTTATCAAGGTCGTCCTAACAGCATGAAAAAGAGGTCAAATTAATTATATATATCAAATGGCTGCTAAGATTAATTCGAAACCATATCATCTTGGTCTCCATATCAATTACCTTTTTTTATTTATCTAGCTTTAATTAAGGAAGAATGTTACTGGATGGTAAGGAGTATTTCATAAAATGTGTTCCAAATGACTACTGATATCTCTTTAATCTAAAATTCAGATTCCTATGGTATAAATGAGGACTTATGGAATGTTGTTCACTTCTATAAGTTTATTCCTTGTGTTGTAACGGACAGAGGTTTGACTTATAGCTACAAATTACCAGTATCCTCTGAGAGAAAATATCGAATAAATGTAAATTATCGTTATCTTTCGAACGATTTTCATTTACTAATGTCCAGAAATTTTAAAGCTAACAAGAAGACAGCCCTAAGATTAAATTTTGTTATCTTAGTGTCATATCTTATGATAGACATCGTTTTACTACTTTGTATGCAGCAATACTTTTTCGTTTGTGATTGTTCTTATTACAGCTGGCGTCAGTCGTTTAGTTACCCATTTAGAATGGCTCCCACAAATAATAGATTGCCCAATTATGACTTAGTGTTAATTCCTAAAAACTGGTTGACGAACTTTAGGTTTCTCCGCAAGTAAAAGGGCAGTAAATGTGAGTTGCTTCAATTTTTACGTTTTTTTCGGTGCTACAATATTAGTCAATAATGGAGGGAAAAATCCCCTTAAAATGCTATTTGGTTTGGCATTCATTAGAAATCTAAGCATTGTATTTAATTTAGATTTGGGGATAGCAATTTATGATGCCTATTTGTCAAAAACTATGCGACAAGCTCTTGTTGTTAACCTTTATTATACCCTTCAACACATTTCAGCTTCCTCTACCAAACCCATTTTCTAACATCTCAAATCATCATTTGACAATATTAGCCAATTTTTTTAAATTATCATAACTGAATTGTTAATGTTCGGAAGCCTTTTAAATTAAATTGTATTAATAATTCTCTTGAATAACTTCCTAAAATCCACAACATCTTTCTCAAATCCAAATTAGAAGGTGATTCGAAGCGTTAAGATCAACCGGCAAGTGAAAAATGGCAATACCGGAGCAAATAGGAAAAAGATGGACATTTTTCCTGGTTACATTCCACATCAGCCATCAAATACAACTGGCCAAATGGCTTGTAACAATTCTTCCTCGATTTTTTCAGGGAGATCTTCCTATTCAACTACTTTTTCACATTCCTCCACTATTAACGTCTCCTACGATTCGCCGATAGAGCATTCCACTAACGAGGACATTGAACACAGAGTCAGCTATTCCCAGAGATTGACAAAAACTTTCAACATAGCCAAAAATGCCACTAGCAAAATCAGTGAAGACGATAAAAATAGAACAATTTTACTTTCTTTGAATGCTGAAAGAATCGAGACAAACAATGGGCTATCGTCGGCAGGAGTCGCCAGTTCAGGATTCGATTTCTTAAAGGAAAAAGAGGAAACAATAAAATCCTCCGTAAACTCTGTACAAATGAGACGTGGAGAAGAGGATTCAGGTGTAGAGATAACATACCATTCAGGCAATAGTGTCGACAGTGACAATGAGGATGACTACGAAGAAAATGAGGACTATTATGAAGAGGGGATCGAGGATATAAGTCAGTATGAAGATGAAGGGGAAATGCAGTGCTGTTTTGGCATCACGATAGATGTGCTAACTCTAATTCCAAGAATTAAAGCGCAAACCGCCAAATACGGTGTGAAGCTGCCTAATCTTCTGGAGGTGGGGGAATATTCTCTGGAAATCCAAGTGAGTCTGAGACTATATTTTAAGCCCATATAGGCCTCAATGCCTGCCTTTATGTGTGCCTTAATACGTTATATTTATATAGTATAGACAGTATTAGTTATAATTTCAAAATGGAGTGGAATATTCATTATAGAAAACTTTAACTCAAGGATTTAAACCGAAAAACTTACCATCTTAGTAACAGTGTGGCGAGAAAACTTCCAAGTTAATTGCACAATAATACGTCATCTGCTGTAGACTAAAGCTTATTACGACTAGAAACAAGGCTTTTCGACTTTAAAAAACATAAGATTTTGGAATGGGCAGTTCGGCAAATCTATTAAGAATACGTATGCAATTTTAAAAGTGTAATAAGTGATACGAGATTTTTACGTGCAAACAGTTGATGATATTCACTTCTTCATTATGGATAAATTTTTACGTTTTCTAAAGATAGAATTTCTCGCTTTTTATTTTACTAAACTGCATAATAATAGAAAGACGAAAGAACAAAGAAAAAAG